GGGACAGTCTTGTGCTTCACAGCAGGTGATGCGCAGGGTGCCTGGCTGTAGCAGTACGTGCTGGTGTGGAAATGACTTCAGGATGACGTTGCCACAGATGACAGACAGGAGCTGATCTTGGGCTAGATCAGAAGATCTTAGTAACAGGCCTTGCCATTGACTAACCCTTCCATGATCCCGCTTCTGCCTTGTGCACCCTCAGCGCTGGACGCGGAGTGTCTTCTCCCTGTTGCCTGCGTGAGGCTGTGACCTCCCGCTGAGGGCCGAGCCGTGTGTCTGGCCTAGGCCGCCACTCCCTGGCAGGCCTCTGTGCTTGTTGGAGGGTTGGCGCTAACCAGGTGGGTCCGTTAAGCAGGTGTTCGTTGCCATTGACCAAAAGTAGTAACATTGTTACTCTTCTAGTCATGACTCGTAATCCATAAAGCAAACAAACTGCTGGAAAGCACGAACAGCATCAGATGCTGATCCTGCAGCCACAGGAATGCGGCTCGTGCCCCGGACACGTGGCACGCGCGTTGTTGTGCTGCGGTTTTCAGGTACACGTGGGTAACAAGAGTACACTTTATGGTTTGCTCAGGTGAGCTTCTGGGAGAAGTAGGGGAGTGTTTAGGCCTGCAGGAAGCGGCTGGTGGTGTTGCCTGCTGAATACAGTGAGTGGCGCGACGATCGGCGTGTCCGTGTCGGCGCCGGTGTTTTCCCAGCAGCGTCTTCCCGTCTCGTCACTCTCGCTCCTTTGCGTTTCAGGTGAGATGAGTGAGAGCCGAGCAAAGAGGGTTAGGATAAAAGAGGTGGACGGCTGGACCCTGAGGATGCTCATCGATTACGTTTACACCGCAGAAATCCAGGTTACGGAAGAAAATGTGCAGGTAAGCGTGAACACTGCACGTCATTTAGCTCTGTATGCATACAGCTTCTTAAAGAAGCACACCTGGCTGGGCACGGTGGCTCAGGCCTGTCATCCCAGCACTTTAGGAGGCCAAGGCGAGAGAATCGCTTGAGGCCACGGGTTCGAGACCAGCCTGGGAAACATAACAAGACCCTGTCTCTATTTAAAAAAAAAAACAAAAGACAAAACAGCAAACCTACACAGTGTACATTTTGTACAAAAGTAATGGGATTCAGTGTTAAAATTGCATTTCTAAAAGGACATTTGGAATGATTACATCTTTTTAATGTTTTTGATTTCGGTATCTTTTATGTACTTAACGTTTGAAAATACAGATCCTTTGGTTCTCTGAATGATGCTTGTTCTTTCATGAAAACACTGTCATCATTTATGACGACTGATTGATGCTGCCCACAGCTTTTCTTTATTCCTTGGAAGGGTGAGGTCTGCAGAGGACGTGTTTGACTGCCAGCTCCCTTCATTTCTTTTACTGTTTCCGCACCTGCTTTAAGTGCTTCTGGAATTCAGCTAAGAGTTGGCATTGCACCTTTCTTATTTTCTTTATAAAAACAACTGTTTTATATATGTTACATAAATGTTTAAGTAATACAGATGGATGTGAAGTAAAAGGTGAAGGTCCCTCTTTAAAACTGCTCTTCTCCTTGAACCTACCCAGCCCACACGCATGGGTCCGCTCCTCTCTGTAGGGGCGGCTTCTGTCGTGTTTGGGGTGAGCCCTTGCAGACCACTCTTCACGCATTCATTCTCTCCCTCCCTCCCTCTCTCTCTCTCTCTCACTCGCGCGTACACACACACACACACACACACACACAGAGTTTTCTTTACATAAATATATTTATGCCATACTGTTTTTCTGCAACTTGCTTTGTTCACTGAACAAAGTGTCTTAGAGGTCTTTACATAGTAACAGACATGGGTCTAGCTCATTCTTTTGTGTGGTACCCTGTTATGCCAGTCAGGGTGTATGATTTTTCACCTTTACAAAAATGATGCAGGGAATGGATGCTTTTATATTTTCATCCAAAAATTTCATAAGCTAGATTCCTCAAAGTGGAATTGGTGGATCAGAGAGTACATGCATATTTTAATCTTTTGGAAGTGATGCCAAATTGCCATCTAAAAATTTGTATTTATTTATAATCCTTCCAACAGGGACACTGTGTTTTAAGGACAACGAACAGAACTGGGACTAAATTCTTAAGAAATAATCTTTAAATTCTACTTGCACAAACAGGAGATCGTGGGTTCAGTCTTTAGTTCTTTTTAACTAGTGTGCTACAAAGTGTTTGAATGTGGAGCTGCAGCCTGTGGAGCGCCTGCCTTGTGGAGACGGTGCTGTGGACGGTTAAATGCGTGCACACCAGCGGTGGGAAGGCTGCCAGGCAATCTTTCCCAGGTGGCCTCATTAGCCCTTGCTAGAAGGTTCTGTTTGTGAGGGAGGCATTTGGAAACCTCGGTCAGTATGTGAGTTGTGTATAAAGGAATGGATGTTCACGCTAGATGAACACTTTTTAGCATGGAAGAAGTGTTTGGTGTATGTCATGAGATCATGGTACCAAC